CACATGCAACCAATCTGAGATAGCTTGCTCATGTCGGCTCCTGTAATGTCCAGACGTTCGAAGCATCCAGTTCATAGTGAACGATGGAGTACAGTCACTTAGTGCGCGTTAACATATACCACCTCGTCTCATCACAAACAGGTCACTGGCACATGCGTAGCTCGTTACATTAAATAAACCACTGTTTGGATAAATATGTGCATTTCCACTAGTATCACATTTGTGACGTGCTTTATTGTGGTTGGTTCATTGTCTTACCTCAAGAGCACGTGGAATCTGTACGGAAGACACTCTAGACGCGGAGTTAACGTTCATACAGAATACTCTACTTGAAAATAGTTATCCCGATAGATTTATTTTAAAGAACCTCCAAGAAAGACCCGGCCCAATACCAGTGTCAGCAGCAGTAAAGAAAGCTATTTATTCATTTACCATTCAAAGGGGACGCGGCTACGGTGCGTCTAACCAGAAACTTTTCGTCCATGGTAAAGTCGACCTTCCCAGCAGCTTCGTTGAAGTGCGTGTTTTCAACGGAACCACTCATCCGTTCACAAAATATGGACAAGCTTCCGATGCTGACCAATTCAGTGGTTATTTGTCAATTCGTGTGCGCCTATATATTGGTCAAACGGCGCGGCAGTTATCCAAACGCGTGAACGAAAATAGCCCTGGTTGGCTGCGTCAAGGGGGCACCGGGACCATTACTAGCGCCATTCTGGCTCACACTGTGTGGACACAGGCCATGAGGTGGATTGGAAACGCGCTTTCCGAATAGTTTACAAGGTTCCGCCGCACAGAACGAATTCTTACTGCCTTCGTACACTTGCGACAGCTGAAGCAATATCCATTCGATTGTTTCTGCCGTCCTTATGCTCACAGAAGAAGCTGGTCTAGACTCTCCAACATCCCTGGCCAACGAAGACGAAAGACGCCCAGGTCGACTACCTTCGGTCAGACGCGCTAGCAAACAACCGGCCCACTAAGACCTAATTCGTTTTCTCATTTCTGACCCAGACCTTCATGTGATCTTATTCGTTTCGAACTAACTGGGTCACTTTTTATTTCTAGCCTCTATATCATTGTAATGGTTTGATGATTCATTGAAAGTAATTAGTCACCAGATGGTATTTTGTTCTCGAACCTAAAATGGGAGTTTTCAAGTTACTTATTATGGATTCTTTGTGATAGCTCCAAGTCAGATATTCTCTCAAACACCTGGAAACACACTAGGTGGACTCGCCAGTGGTGTATGCATCCCTTAACTCCACAAGTAACCAGGTCCTTGATTTATAATTCATGCCGGCCTGACCTCCTCATCCGTGATCCATTGGCATAGGCATCTGCATAAGCCGCTGGCCTCGCGAGGTCGTGGGTCGCGGTTCTTGACGGATCCGTGGGCTGCGCACTACGGACGAATCTCAAGAGGACGAAACCGTCATTTAGGGCTTTTACAGATTGGTGGGAGTATGGCTTTTGGGTGTTGCAAAAAACCCTCACTAAATAAAATCTTGTTCTAACATCACTCTGGATGGAAAAACCGTTACACAATTAATAGTAATATTTATAATAATGTTAACAATACTAATAGGTATGTTTCTCCTTAACTGAGAAGCTGTGTCCAAATTTAGCACAGATCATGTAAGAATAGCTAACACCTTGCTCTTGCACGAGCAATATTAAATTGTGGCAGATAAAAACAGCGGTATATTCCTCGTTGGGGAGAGGTACAGTCCAACTAAATGTTGCGATTCTTGATCTACGGTGGAATCACTGGGAGTAGTTTTTTATTTTTCGAAATTTCAAAGCAGTTCCCCAAATATATTTTGGTGGGCATGGCTAATTGATCCGCTAAATCTTTCGAGCTGATTGAGAAATTATCATCCATGGAGCCGTTTCCTGCGGACCTACTTCCCTGCGGGTTGGACCAAGGTAGGCTGATCTATTCCCTAACTGTTTGGTCAGCCCACCCGATCAGACAAATTAAGGTACGTTATTGTAGAACACCGGCCCATATGTTTACTAAGTTGCATTGAGTGTATGTATTTGTCCCTCTGTAACCCCCGCGTGAGGATCTAGGAGCCTTAAAATTTTTGACCATCGTTACCTGCGAAGCATTTCTGCTGTCGGATGACACCAGCTTGTCCGTATCGATGACTTACATAGGTGAGTACTAGGCTAATTCTTTATAACGACAAATCATGTTGAATAAGTTACGTTGGCTTAACATCTGCTACGTATGCCCGATCACTGCCTACTAAGGAGGGACTTGTCTTACTTGTCGGATGTTGAATGTCGCAAGTCTCTGGCTGGACAAAGGTCTTACTTGGCAGCAGGAAATGAAGCCATTAACGACCGAAGTTGGTGCTGTTGGTCCGTCTTGTCTTCCAGATGGGACTTTACTTGATCCGCTTTGGCTGGCAGTCGAATTGCCTGTTTAAAGTGTGTTTGGTGTTGTTATCTGCGGGGTACTGACTGATTAGATGTGGGACAGTGAAAACCGCAAGAAAACTGTTTCACCGATGCCACCTTATCTTTTCAAAATAGCCAACTGTCTGTGATGATTTGTTGTTGACAAGGTGTAGACGCCTTGACCTGGATTGTTCGCTTAGGGCACTGAGATTTTACGCTACATCCCTCTTCTCTTCCTCCTAGCATTTCTCATTTATTAAGCGGTTATAGTTGTGTGCGGCAGTGGCGCATCAGTTCAAATGGATGATGTATTGCTGTTGATGCTGATTAGTGTTTTCGGCCCCTTTCCCAAAGGATTGCACGCATTTCTTGTAATGCGAAGGTCACCGGTTCGAATCCGCTCAGCTGCGGGCAATCTCGCGGTATACGCCGCTCACGCGCGACCGGTTGTGGTCACGTAGCAGCAACGTGTCGGTACGGTATGTGCCGGTGTTCTCCTGATGCTTAATGGTAGCTTTATCACCAGATAGTCACAGACATTTTACCTTGCGCACCGGTTCCCTTAAGAGTTGTCGAATACGCCTGACCTTACCTTATCTAGTTAATTCCCTGTTTAAACTATTGTTTAAGCTGGAGGGGTTTTGTCTTTCTCTCCCATCCCGGCACTGCACGACCGACGGTTTCGTCCTTCTTTAGACTCATCAGGTAGAGATAGCCGAGCTGAGAGTGGAGCTCGGTGCACAGTGCTTGGCGGCTATCGCCATGATCACTAGGCCATTGAGCTCCGCGAGCAGTGTTTGACAGCGGTTAGAAGTAGATTTTCGGGTATTTGGAGCACCCGCCGTGTGTCTTGGATTGCGACGCGCAATCTTACTAGTGGCGTCGGTTGACTTTGAAATCAGCCTCTGCCAAAGTCAACCTATGCCACTAGTAAGATTGCGCGTCGCAATCCAAGACACAGGACAGGTGCTCCAAATACCCGAAAATCTATTGTTTGATCTGTATTTCCGTGTGTCTAAATTTCGTAACCATGTGGTTCATTACTAAGGACGAACACGCCTTGTATCTCATTAGGCTGCTTTTTTGTCCATGACATAGATATAGCTGCTTACCGCGTGTTTTCAATTGCTGATGTAACTTCTTATCACTAGGCACTACCCTTCCACTACTCTATTGAGTGCCCATGAGCAGGGTGGTTTAACTGTTTTTTCAAAATTCCGCAATTTGAGAGAATTTACCACGCTTTCATGACATTCAGCAGAGATTGAGGTAACTTCTTACATCCTCTGTCTGTCCTGGGGTTATGGTGTTGTCTGCCTATTCGCGATCTGGTTCCTCATTGCTAACATGCATTCCGATATCTATATTGTGCCGATCCTCTTTACCGCATACCCTTAACACTACTCGATTTCAAAACCTCACTGGAACAATGGTAGCAGTTGGCATTCTATTTCACCAGAAATAGTTACGGTTCGATAATGGTTCACTGTTTAACTTGTGTCTTCATTAGTGGTATGTGTTGAACACATGACATGCGGACAATGTGGTCACTGTTTTGTTACTTTCGTTCCTCGTTACCTTTCGTTGCGTACAGGAATTCGGTCACTTAAGTTACAAATGCTCGCGGAATGCACTTGGCGAAAGAGAGCCCCCGGTGAAGAAGAAGAAAATTCGCAAGCGGATGGCGTAAGAAGCAGTTTTTGCTGCATCTTTACATTTCTTTTTGCATATCGTCTACTTATCCTCATAATAAATGAGGATTCTACTGTGTGTGAGCAACAGCCCCTTCGGTGTCACATTACTGCTTTCTTGTATAATGCATACCCCGACTAAACTAATGTGGTTATTCCCATTTTCGCTCAATAATCTGCCTCCACGGGGAATCGAACCCCGGACCCACGGATTATCGGTCCGCTGCTTTACCACTGAGCTACCGAGGACTGACGATCGGGTGCGCAATTTAATACATGACTTCTGTTTGGTTCTCGACGTATTGCCAATGAGCTCACAGTATCTGTCCTGGTGTTGCAGATTGGCTCACTCACTCGTCACTTCCCAATGATCCGAAGTATCTGTCCTTCTGATGTTCAAAGGGCGATGGTAGGTTACTTGTGGATTTTGTGAGTAATGTAACTCTTACGCATCTGGTGCGTGTGCTGTCGCCACTGTGTAGTACCTGCTGACGAGGCATTTCTGTTCCCTTCTGTAAAGCTGGGTGACACACTCATGTACCAAAGCCGTCTCCATCAGCGTGTGACATTTGTGGGGTTACAAATCGGTCGTCATTCTTCGAATGGCAACGAGACTTGACCTTAACTTGGTTCGACGATTTGCGTACCTCCTTGACCCTTTGAGCTATACTGTGTGATGCCTCCGAGCATTTTGTGAGCTACTCCTACCAGGTTGGGCAACGGTGAGAGGTCAGACAAACTCAGTCTCCTGATCCTCCAGGTTGGGGGTTTGAAATGGGATGGCGTCCATTTCTGTAAAACTACATTGCCACCTCCCCGCTGCCTTGCGGACAGGCTTTTGAGCCAAAGGCTTTGGATGAGGTCCCTAATCGTCCTCCTATCTAGGTCTGGGTGCCCTGGCAATATCTCAGCCCACATACAACCATGACATTTTCTTCAAACATAAACTTCATCCTGCGTCGGCCGTCGCGCAGCTTATCAAGGGTTGCCTTATCTGTTGCATACAGCAGATAGCACTGAATAAGTTGCGTTGGCTCGGGCACGTGCTACGTATGTCTGGTCACCGCTTATCTAGGAGGGCCTTGTTCAGTCGACCAGGTGTAGGATGGCGCAAGGCTCAAGGTGAACAGAAGTTAACTTGGCAGCGAAAAATGAAGTCACTGACGACCAAATTTGGTGCCGTTGGTCCGTTTCGCCTTCCGGGCTGGAGTCCACTTGACTCGCCTTGTGCTTGGCTCGAGAGTTTAAAGGATGTGGCTCGCAGTAGACACCAGTGGGGCGTCTGCTGCCGTTTCCTGATCGGATTGCCTGTTTAAAGTGTGTTTGGTGCTGAGTTATCTGCAGTGTAATGGCTGATTATGACGCGTGGCAGTGAAAGCCGCAAGGAGGCTGTCTCGCCGATTCCGCCTCATCTTTGCACGATAGTCAGCTGTTTGTGACGGTATGTTGTCTACACAAGGTGTAGGCGCCTTGACCCTGAACGTTTGCTTAGGGCGTTAAGATTTTCAGGCAAGTCCCCCTTCTCTCTCCTTATTATTCTTTATTTCATAGGTCATCATGGTTGTATGGCAGCGAAGCATTAGTTCAAATGGCTGATGTACTGCTGTTGATGATGATGATGAATGGCAACAGCAATGGGCTGGATTCCCCTCGTGTTTACAACAAATGGCAGTGCGATCCGCGAAGAAATTGTTCGTTTTGCTACTCTTTTACCTGCACTCTCTTGTCTCATGGGAAATAGGTAGACTGGCTGCTTATCCGTATGAGATGACGTACAGTTTTCCTGACCAGCTGTTTTTGCATCTGTGTTGTGTTCCAACAGTCTACGTACAGGAGAAAGGGCCATCATGCAACCATGCAAATCAAAGGAAAGGTGCAGTTTTCGAAATAAAAATGTATGTTTTCCTCAGCTGGCTCGGTACTCCTGGGCTGTGCTCCAGGTGCAAGTAGGAAGTTGACTTTTAGGGGGCAGAATCCGCTGGCTTTGGCTGAATAATCTCCCCGCAGGGAAACGGGACGAAATCTGCGAACCACGCCCATTAGAAGCCGGTGACTCCGTGCTCAGTTCATGCACCTTTCGTTTGGTCGTATACCCAAAAAAATAATTTCAACTTCTAGACGCTGGAATACACTGCGCTACCAGAGTGAAGCCAGGGGGCAGTGCCTTCATTTAGTGGTAAGTCACCCACCATGTCGCAGTGCTGTTACCGGACATATTTGGCTTGTTATAGGGGTAACACTTCACAGGCGGAAACCCACAACCTTCTGGAACACTGTCGCCGTATCATTTGGTGGAACGGGATAAACCCGAACCATCCAGCTGACACCACTGTTAGGTTGTTCGGCGAGCCACATTTGCAACCGGATAGAGAACCCCTTGTAGGAATATATATATATATATATATATATATCACGTTCTGTGGTGTAGATATTGTGCCATCGTAATCGTACCGGCATATAAAAACAGGATTGGATAAGAACATCACAGGCAATTTTTTGCTGAATTTTCCTTTCTGATTTAAGTTTTATATTTGAAGTTTGTTTTATTAAGTTAAGTTTAGGGATCACCGCAACACGCAGAGATACACGTTCGCCACTGATGTCTATCTTGTGCCATAACTTCCAGTCTCCAACTAGTGACAATACGTATATCGGTGACTCCAACCAGGGAATCGAGGCCAACTGCTCCGTCAGCTTTTTCAGTCCGCTCCTCCAAGTGTTAGGTTGTCCACCGCGCCGTCTTCCACAGTCCCATTCAGTAACCGTGAACAATACATGACGCGGAAGACGATGAGCAGGTGTGCGCAATACTTGCCCAAGCCACGGCAGTTGACGCAGTGAGACGAGCTCCTCGAGCGAGTGGCTGCTTTCATCCAAGACACACCGTCTAACTTCCACATTGGTTACGTGGTGCAGGCACCACACACAATGGACCGCAAGCAACGGTGCTCAAAGACAGACAGCTGGAGCAGGTCAACCGTTCGAACAAGCCACATCTCGCAACCGTACAACACTACAGTGCGAACAGTCTAACAATAAGCGCGCCCTTTGATGGATACACGGATGTCATGGTGGCACCGCACGTGCCTCAGTCTGGAGAAACCCAGACGAGCTCTTGAGGTACACAACCAAATCTTATTTGCACCAGCATTGATGCGACTTCTTAGGTAGCCGAACCTATCCACAATCCCCAGTGTAATCTTCTAAGGGATTCATCCCAGTAGTTCACAAGCTACGTAGCACAGTGTCTCGCGTCCTGGAGTGATGGAAGGTATAGGCATCTGCCATTCTTGAAAAAGTGCTTTGCATTTGGATGGTGAAAAGTGCATACCATGTTTCGACACTTCAATCGCCAAGCGGTTCTGTGCATCTTTGACGACCTGTAGAACGTCACCCAGCAAATCGATATCATGAACGTAGTCCAGCTCGACTACCTGGGAGGAAGACGAAAGCTTCACGTCAGCCCTAACTCTACCTGCGGTCATGCCGTACATAGGATGCAGTACGGAAACGAACTTACCGTTGACGCCATTCCTCAACAGACAGTGCCACCATGCTGTCCTGTCGACAGAATCGAAGGTATCACGGATATCTAGGAACACAACAATCGTTGGCTTTTGCTACCCATGGCGGAATTCGAGGATCTGGTGGAATATGAAAATTTGATAGATGTAGCCGCGGAGCCCAAACTGTTCTTCCCACTGTAGCAATTCGCATATTGGGGATAGCCTACGATGTATGGTGGACACCATAAGCTTGCAGACGACGGGAACCAAACTTATACCTTTGTAGTTGGCGCACACTGTACGCAGGCCCTTTCTGAAAATCGGGACGACTATTAACTCTCACCCAAAGACGATGTAACCTCCGCTCTTGACCATACTTCTGAGAACAAAGTGATGAGTTTTCGAACTAGCGAATAGCCATCGTCTTTAAAGAGGGCAGGTCGAAGCCATCAGGGCTGAGTGATTTATGACGCTTCACTAGATGGCGTTCCTACCAGATTTCCTAGTGATATAGAGGATTTGTGGGGATAGATCACTCATAATCAATGCGCGCTCCAGAGCAAGTGGATCGAGCTGGCAGCCAGCAACTGCGAGCCAAAATGTTCAACCCATCGTTCCAACCGTCATTAAAGATTAATTCTTTATGAGTCATCCTCTTCGCAGATTTTTCGCCCACACTAGACCGGAAATCTTCGGTGACTCGAATGATATGAAAGTTTTATGGTCTTACCAGATAGACTAGCAAGTTCCATTTCTCTAGCACACTCATACCACAAGGCTTCACGGTCCTTTTGCAAATGTCTGCGTAATTTTCGATCCAGGGTACGTTGTTCTTCACTACAGCGGGTGTCAGCCGGGACGGAGCGACGTCCATCCACCAACGACAAGGACAGCGATGATCAAGGTTTCCTGTGAGTTACTGGCAACTTCACAACTGTCATATCATCGTCAGAAAATGAGTGAAGCAATATTCACAATAGGGCCTGGCACTTGGCTAACGTCGTAGGATTTTGTAGATTTTCCACGTTCAGTCGGTTATGCATCTGGCTGGGCGATCTTCTGGAGCGCATGCAAATATTGGCGCGAACGATTGCGTGATCGGGGTCCAAACAAGTTGACGAGTATGGCCAGCAATCTGTTGCCCTACCGCGCCATTTGTACTTTATTGGTTTATAGTCAAGCTGAGACCACTATTGTGTTTGAGAAAACGGACGCCAGGTAGCAGTCTACCTCTTCGAGTGTCGAAAACTGGTGGTTGAAGGAAGCAAGCGATGGTCAGAACAAAGAGTCGATATTCTATCTCCATTATCTGATTTACGGTTACCGAGGACAAAGTTAGTCACAAGATGGTGGTCGCTTGGTGGCAGGCAATCCACTCGGGCGTTTTAATCTGAAGGCTGAAGTCTATGGGAGCACAGGCGTGGACGGCAAATGAGTCCCGCGCAAAATCTCGACGCTTACTTAACTCACACGAATCTCGTAGTTTGAT